AGTACCACAAAGTGGTGCTCGTTTTATCTACCCTCAGTGGAGGATGAGGATGATAGGGACGATGAATAAGTTGTCAACTGTCAACCTTCAGCGGGGATTTGAACCTGTACGCCTCAGGTGCAGTAACAGAGATTTTATCATTTTTTTCCAATCTCATTTTCGGAGCTGTGGAATGGAGATGCATGTGGGCGAGCGGCTGATTGCCGCGTATGTGCGTATGTTTGTGTGCTCATTTGCTCAAATGTGGTAAATTGCTAGCGTGCTTGTGTGAGTCAGTGTCGTTTCATCTGTCCTTTCACTGGAATTAGAGAGCTGTGGAATTAGGCCGAGAATAACATTCCACGTCCGTGTCTTCGTGCATGCGGTGTGCGTGTATCCTTTAGTGTGTGCTCTATTGGGAGCAGTAGCGCAGCGGTTAGCGCGCTGCGCTACAAACTTGGCTTCCCGAGTTCAATTCCCGCTCACGGCCAACACCGGTGACGATTACCTGAACCAGTCATGTGCCTCCCTTAGGTCGACTTAGCCTCAACATGAGTACCTTGTGCAGTGTGTAAACATCACCGCTCTGGAGACAAAGGGATGTGCCGTGCCGGCCTTCATAGGTGCCACTCACTAACAGCACTTGCCCCAACAGTCTGTTGAGGCTATACAGGGGATCTCTGTCTTTGTGTATATGCACGTGTCCGTGTATATGCGTGCGTTCGTGCATGCGTGTTCTCCTGGCAGGTGAAGTGCTGCAAGTACTGGGCGGACGAGTGCGAGGTTTACAACGACGTCAAGGTGACGCTCGTGGGTACTGAGATGCTCGCCGAGTACATCATCCGCACTTTCAGCATCGAGCGGGTGAGGGTCACGGACACGTGGAAAGTTACACACAGGCACACAGACAGTTACAGTACACGCAGACACACCAACAGTTACATACTGACAGTTACACACAGACACACAGAAAGTTACACGCAGACACACGGAGAGTTACACGCAGACACACAGAGAGTTACACGCAGACACCGACAGTTACACGCAGACACACCAACAATTACGTACTGACAGTTACACGCAGACACACGGAGAGTTACACGCAGACACACCAACAGTTACACGCAGACACACAGAAAGTTACACGCAGACACACGGAGAGTTACACGCAGACACACAGAGAGTTACACGCAGACACACCAACAGTTACACGCAGACAAACCGACAGTTACACGAAGACACACGGAGAGTTACACACAGACACACAGAGAGTTACACGCAGACACCGACAGTTACACGCAGACACACCAACGTTACGTAATGCAGTTACACGCAGGACACACCGACAGTTACACGCAGACACACCGACAGTTACACGCAGACCACCGACAGTTACCGCAGACACACCGACAGTTACACGCAGACACACCGACAGTTACATACTGACAGTTACACGCAGACACACCGACAGTTACACGCAGACACACCAACAGTTACACGCAGACACACCGACAGTTACACGCAGACACACCGACAGTTACATACTGACAGTTAGACGCAGACACACCGACAGTTACACACAGACACACCGACAGTTACACGCAGACACACCGACAGTTACACGCAGACACACCGACAATTACATACTGACAGCTACACACAGACACACCAACAGTTACACGCAGACACACCGACAGTTACATACTGACAGTTACACACAGACACACCAACAGTTACACACAGACACACCGACAGTTACACGCAGACATCACACACGCAGACACACGGACATGTACAGTTACACACGGACGCACGGACAATTATGGACATGCAGCAGTGGATCAATCATGACTGATAATACTGCGGTCGTGCGTGCGCGTGGAGCAGGCGGGCTGCCCCGAGGTGCGCGAGGTCCGTCACTTCCACTTCACGAGCTGGCCGGACCACGGCGTGCCATACCACGCCACGGGGCTGCTCGCGTTCGTACGCCGCGTCAAGGCGCTCAACCCGCCCGACGCGGGGCCCTGCGTCGTGCACTGCAGGTGAGGAGGGGGGGGAGGTGTGGCTGGCCTCATCCACAGGGGCGTGTTGTGCCGGTACAACTCCAGCACTCGCATCACTCGCCCCTGCAGTCCGTTGAAGGGTACACGGTGGGTGCTGTCTCTGTTTCTGCTGTGCGTAGGGGAACGGCGGTGTTACACTATATCTTTTTACTATTTTTTTGTTCACCAGGTAAGGCCCACGCTCAGCTGCGTAGCGCTTGTTCAGAAGCGACCTGAATATCACAAATCATAGCTCAGCAAAGTGTGGTTTACCGTCACTTGGAAATTCATGGCGGCCAAATACTGTGAATGCAGATTGATTCTAAATGTGGAGGGAAAAACCTTAGGGCCCGGGAGGGAAAATCCACACGACCACGGGGAGAACACGCAATCTCCAAATACACAGCAGTCAGGGTCGGGATCGAAACAACGACCTCCTGCATACCAGGTGATGTAGTTAACATCTCGCCACCGTGGCGCCCATAAGGGTTAGAACATCGCGCAATGAACCACACACACATGTACACAAATACAGAGATGTCCCGTGTTGCCTACATAGTCTGTTAAGGGAAGTGTTGTTAGTGAGCACCCACGTAGGACAGGACGCCACCTAATTGGGCCGGTGTGGCCAGCACCACAACCGGTCACCTTCACGTCCCCCTTGCCGATGTTTTACATGATGTGACACACACTCGGCATTCATTTAAGGCCACCCTCGCGGTGGGAAGCCCAGGATCGGTTTGGACAATCACCACCGATGATCGCCGTGGTCGCGCATCGAACTCTGGTCACTGTCCCGGTTCGTAGAGCGGCGGACTAACCGCTGTAACAGCACACACACACACACGCCGAGAACCACCTCTCACACGAAACACACGTTCTCTTCCTGGTCACGGCTAAATTCAGTGGCGAGCGACATGAGAGCCGTCGTGATCCGTGCTTGGCACGTGCTGGCGGTGGCGGCGGCGGTGGCGGTGGCGGCGGTGGTGGCGACGATGGTGGCGGTGGTGGCGGCGGTAGCGGCGGTGGTGGCGACGATGGTGGCGGTGGTGGCGGCGGTAGTGGCAGTGATAGTGACGGTGCGGGGAGACGCTCCGTCACGACCTTCCCCGACATTGCCGATCTCCCGCCCCGCTGGGCTCCCAGCCAATTAGCGATGCAAATTACACCGTAAAGAGGCCTTAAAGGGATTGCTTCCCAAAATTTGATTTACAAACTGCGCAATTCTCAAAGAGATGCAAACACTTCCCGGCCCTCCTCGAGGGGACCGCTTGCTTGTGTAACGCACTCGCGGCACACGTGTGTGTGTGTGTGAGCGCAGTACACGTGTGTGTGTGTGTGTGCAGTACACGTGTGTGTGCGCAGTACACGTGTGTGTGTGTGACCGCAGTACACGTGTGTGTGTGTGTGTGCGTGCGTGTGCAGTACACGTGTGCGTGCGTGCGCAGTACACGTGTGTGTGCGTGCGCAGTACACGTGTGTGTGTGTGTGTGCGCAGTACACGTGTGCATGCATGCGCAGTACACGTGTGTGTGCGTAGTACACGTGTGTGTGTGTGTGTGCGCAGTACACGTGTGTGTGTGTGCGCAGTACACGTGTGTGTGCGTGCGCAGTACACGTGTGTGTGCGTACGCAGTACACGTGTGTGTGTGTGTGTGCGCAGTACACGTGTGTGTGTGTGTGTGTGCACAGTACACGTTTGTGTGTGCGTAGTACACGTGTGTGTGTGCGTGCGCAGTACACGTGTGTGTGTGTGCGCAGTACACGTGTGTGTGCGTGCGCAGTACACGTGTGTGTGCGTGCACAGTACACGTGTGTGTGCGTACACAGTACACGTGTGTGTGTGTGCGTGCGCAGTACACGTGTGTGTGTGTGCGCAGTACACGTATGTGTGTGTGTGTGCGCAGTACACGTATGTGTGTGTGTGCATGCGCAGTACACGTGTGTGTGTGTGCGCAGTACACGTGTGTGTGTGTGTGTGTGCGTGCGCGTGCGCAGTACACGTGTGTGTGTGCGCAGTACACGTATGTGTGTGTGCATGCGCAGTACACGTGTGTGTGTGTGTCCGCAGTACACGTGTGTATGTGTGCGTGCACAGTACACGTGTGTGTGCGTGCGCAGTACACTGGTGTGTGTGTGCGTGCGCAGTACACGTGTGTGCGCGCAGTGCGCAGTACACGTGTGTGTGCGCAGTACACGTGTGTGTGCGTGCGCAGTACACGTCTGTGTGTGTGTGTGCGTGCACAGTACACGTGTGTGTGTGTGTGCGTGCACAGTACACGTGTGTGTGTGTGCGTGCGCAGTACACGTGTGTGTGTGTGTGTGCGTGTGTGTGTGCGTGCACAGTACACGTGTGTGTGTGTGTGTGTGCGTGCACAGTACACGTGTGTGTCTGTGTGTGTGTGCGCAGTACACGTGTGTGTGTGTGTGTGTGCATGCGCAGTACACGTGTGCCCATCGGCGCGTGCTTGTGTGCCGGTCTTGGGCCTCCCCTAGGACAAATTGGCCTCAAATGAGTACGTGTTGCAGTGTGTAAATATCAGCACCGGGAATATAAAGGCAGCCAGGCGTGGTGCTGGCCACATCACCCCCTCATACACACTGCTCGCACCAATTACGTACGAGTTTATGTGGGTCCGCCTGTGTGTGCATGTGTTTGAAATTTTGTTTAATTAAAAATCACAATCAGCACATATAATAGGAAGATCATTTTTCGTGGAGGATTTTGTAAATTATAAAATCCGAGAAGAAATCGGCACATTGTGTGTGAATGACGTGCGCGCGTGTGTGTGTGCGCGCGCGTTTGCCTGTGCGCTAGTGCCCTAGTGTGTGTCTTGTGCATGTCTTCGCATCTGTACTTGTGTATGCGTGTGTGTGCCCGTGCACGTGTCCTCGTCCGCGCGTGTCGGGAGCGCTAGCATAGAGATTAGCGGCATCTGGACCGGTCCTGGGCCGCCCCTAGCGTGTAAACACATCAGCACTGGGGAGACAAAGACGGCCGGGTGCAGTGGCGGCCACACCACCCCGTCACGCGCCAACCTTAAAAGGCCCTCGCTATTGTGGTACTTTCCCCAACAGTCTGTCGTCGTATATTTGTGCGTCTGTGCGTGCGTAGCGCGGGAGCAGGTCGTACGGGCTGCTTCATGGTGATCGACATCACGCTGGACATGGCGGAGAAGGAGGGCGTCGTGGACATCTACAACTGCGTGCAGGAGCTGCGCTCGCGCCGCGTCAACACGGTGCAGACCGAGGCAAGCGGCGAGCGCACGACACAAAAGAGCCACGTGACTTCGGGATCTCCCACGCGCTCTCCTACCTCTACGGTGCAGAGGGGCTCTCTGGAGTTCCCTCAAGCGGAGGTCCTTCCGCCAGCAGGCAGCGGGGACGAGCCACTGCAGAGTTGCACGTCTTAATTTTCTACCAGTCGGCAAACGCCGCCGTTCTCTGCCGCAGAGACAATTTTCCAGCTCGTTAGGCTAATGGGCTGAGAGGGAGCGGAGCGGAGGGCTGTCCTCCGACCCCTTGGCCCCGCTGAGTAATTACCACCGGCCCCGGCGCGCTAATTGCCGGCAAGCGTCTTATTAACCTCGTCGCCGCCAATTAGCACGCAGACGCCCCTCATCCCTCGCTGTCCACGAGAGCTCTCACCGGGGCCCCCAGCGCCATGCTGGCCAGAAATTCTGGCCGGCGGGGTCTGCGCCGCTGTGCGTTCATGACGGCGTCGGCCGGAGTCTACCGCACTGTGGCTTGGTGGAGCCGGGGGGTTCACTGTGGCTTGGTGGAGCCTGGGGGTTCACTGTGGCTTGGTGGAGCCTGGGGGTTCACTGTGGCTTGGTGGAGCCGGGGGGTTCACTGTGGCTTGGTGGAGCCGGGGGGTTCACTGTGGGTTGGTGGAGCCTGGGGGTTCACTGTGGCTTGGTGGAGCCGGGGGTTCACTGTGGCTTGGTGGAGCCGGGGGGTTCACTGTGGCTTGGTGGAGCCGGGGGGTTCACTGTGGCTTGGTGGAGCCTGGGGGTTCACTGTGGCTTGGTGGAGCCGGGGGGTTCACTGTGGCTTGGTGGAGCCTGTGGGTTCACTGTGGCTTGGTGGAGCCGGGGGTTCACTGTGGCTTGGTGGAGCCTGGGGGTTCACTGTGGCTTGGTGGAGCCAGGGGGTTCACTGTGTCTTGGTGGAGCCGGGGGTTCACTGTGGCTTGGTGGAGCCAGGGGGTTCACTGTGGCTTGGTGGAGCCTGGGGGTTCACTGTGGCTTGGTGGAGCCGGGGGGTTCACTGTGGCTTGGTGGAGCCTTGGGGGTTCACTGTGGCTTGGTGGAGCCGGGGGGTTCACTGTGGCTTGGTGGAGCCTGGGGGTTCACTGTGGCTTGGTGGAGCCAGGGGGTTCACTGTGTCTTGGTGGAGCCGGGGGTGGTTCACTGTGGCTTGGTGGAGCCAGGGGTTCACTGTGGCTTGGTGGAGCCAGGGGGTTCACTGTGGCTTGGTGGAGCCGGGGGTTCACTGTGGCTTGGGTGGAGCCAGGGGGTTCACTGTGGCTTGGTGGAGCCAGGGGTTCACTGTGGCTTGGTGGAGCCGGGGGGTTCACTGTGGCTTGGTGGAGCCGGGGGGTTCACTGTGGCTTGGTGGAGCCGGAGGGTTCACTGTGGCTTGGTGGAGCCAGGGGTTTCACTGTGGCTTGGTGGAGCCGAGGGGTTCACTGTGGCTTGGTGGAGCCAGGGGGTTCACTGTGGCTTGGTGGAGCCGGGGGGTTCACTGTGGCTTGGTGGAGCCGGGGGGTTCACTGTGGCTTGGTGGAGCCGGGAGGTTCACTGTGGCTTGGTGGAGCCAGGAGGTTCACTGTGGCTTGGTGGAGCCAGGAGGTTCACTGTGGCTTGTGGAGCCAGGAGGTTTGTGGCTTGGCTCGCGGCCCGGCAGGCACCTCGGGTCGCTCGGCACTCGGAGTGGAGTCGGATGCAGAGGGGTTAAATCACTCGCTCGACTATCCACTCCCTCCGCCCCGTCCTCCACCACCCCCACCCCAGCCCCCCACCACCCCTCCCCACCAACCTCCCTCCAACCCCCCTCCACCTTGCCATCAGCACCTGGGCACCCGATCACCGTGGAATGTGTTTACTTCCATTTGATTAACATTAATAATTTCCTTTTCGGGCCACTGTCTTCTTTTAACTGGAATGTGGTGGGCTGATGCTGCTGCTGCTGTAATTATGTGTGTGCGCGTGTCCGTGTTGTGTTTTCAATCATCCTTTTACTTGAATTAGAATAGATATGCGTTACAGGACAGACTGCAAGCTTGGAATAAATGTTCTGTGTGTGTTGGTGGGTGTGAGCATATGTGTGTGTGTGTGTTCGTGTGTGTCTGTGTGAAGATATGTGGGGAGAGGTGGTGTAGCAGTTAGCTCGCTTTTCTACGAACTCGGCGACCCGAGTTCGATTCCCGCTCATGGCCAACAGCAGTGACGATCATCTGAACCGGTCCTGGGCCTCCCCTAGGTCGACTCCGCCTCAAATGAGTGCCTGATGCAGTATGTAAATATCGCCGTTCGGGATACCAAGGCGGCCGGGCCGCCTGTTCCAGACTTCATAGATGCTCGCTAACAGCACTTGCTCCAACAGTCTGTGGGATCTTCGTCTGTGTGTCTGTGGTAGCAGCGGTGTAGGCAGGGGTTTCTGCACTGCCCTATAAACCTAACAACCCGGGTTAGAGTCCTGCTCACGGCCACATCCGTGCTAACGTCCGAGCTAGTCCTGGGCACACAGCGGCGGTGGGCAGACGCGGGCGGGACACGCCGGGGGCCGCACCTCCTCCCCGCGCGCCGCCCTCGATGGGCGCTCGCTGACGCCGTTGGTGTCCTCGCTTGGGTGGTCTCGGGCGACAGGAACAGTACGTGTTCATCCACGACGCCATGCTGGAGGCGTGCCCTCTGCGGCGGACACGGCCCATCCCCGCGTCCGACTTCCGCGCGGCGTACTGCGACCTCCTGCGCCTGGAGCCGCAGAGCAGCTCCAGCCACGTCAAGGACGAGGTCCAGGTCAGAGGAGGAGGCGGAGGCCGGCCGCACAGAGTCTCGGGGCGACCGAGCCGGCGGCGGCGGCGCCGGCGCCACGGCCGCCCGGGTTCCAATCCGAGTCGACGGTCCCGGCCCGGTCGAGGTTGACTCGCGTCGAGACTCTGCGGTTTTTGGGCGACGCGAGCGGAGAGAGGAGATGGTGGCGGCGACGGAGAGTGGCGGTGGCTGCTCCACCTTCGGTGGTTGAGTCCTGGACGTGTGTCTCGTGTCGGGCGTCTTGACGATCGAGCGTTGTCTGTCTACCTGGCGTGGTGTCCACGGCCTTCAGATTCCATTGAGACGGACGCGATTCGCGCGACACGTGGGCTGTCTATCCCCAAATAAATAATAAATGTATGAATTTGCCCGTTGGCTGAATATATAGGTCCATTAGCGACGTAAAAAAATGTTCAGTAATAAACATTCCGGTCGAAAGTCTAAAATTAATTACGTGAATTCCAGAATGAATTGCTTTTAGACACGGCTACTTTGTCCTCAGGGTCCCTGGTTTGTGTGTCAGTGTTTGTGTTTGAGTATATATCTGTGGGTGTGTTGATGTATGTGTGCGTGCGTTCGAATGTGGAGCGGTAGTGTAGTGGGTGCACACTGTTCTATGAACCCAGCGACCCGAGTTCAATTCCCGCTCATAGCCAACACCAGTGACGATTATCTGAACCGGTCCTGGGGCTCCCCTAGGTCGACTCAGCCTCAAATGAGTACCTGGTGCTGTGTGTAAACATCGCCACTGGGGTGAAAAGGTGCCGTGCAGACCTTCATAAGTGCTCGCTATTAGCACTTGCCAAAAGAGTATGTTAAGACTATATGGGGGGTCCTTTGTATGTGTGTGTGTTAGAGAATGTTGTGCGCGCATGGGTTGATAACAAAAGTGACGTCACTTGGTCACGTTTCCCAGAACGTGTGAATTCCAAAACTCCGGACCTCAATCCAATTTCCGGACGAATCCGCTCTCCCGGCGCCTCCTTGGCTGACCCGTGCAGTGACTCGCTCGCTCGCTCGCTCGCTCGCTCGCAGACCCTGCACATGGTGACGCCGCCGCTGCGCGCCGAGGACTGCAGCATCGCGCTGCTGCCGCGCAACCACGACAAGAACGCTTCCGCGACTTCCTGCCGCCCGACCGGTGCCTGCCGTTCCTCATCGCCATGGACGGGGACAGCAGCAACTACGTGAACGCCGCGCTGCTCGACGTGAGCTCGCCCGCACCGCGCCCATCGCCGCCCTCGCGCGCGAGCCGGTCGCCGTGCCGACCACCGCGATGTCGCCGCGGCGCCCGCTCTCTCCCATTCACCGTCTCGCGTTGCACGCGTCCCGCTTCCTGTTGTCTCGTATCCTGTCCGGTGTCTCGTCTGTGCGGCGTCCCGAATGCTCGGCGTCGCGTCGGTCTGGCCATGGGCCCAGAGAGTTGAAGCCGCGTCTCCGTGTCTCGCACCGCAGAGCTACTCCCAGCCGTCGGCATTCATCGCGACCCAGCACCCGCTGCCCAACTCCGTCAAGGATTTCTGGCGTCTCGTCTTCGACTACCATTGCACGGCCATCGTCATGCTCAACGAGCTCGACCCCACGCAGGTGCGGACACGCGGTCACGCTGGCACGTGGACACGCGGGCACATGGACACGCGGACACACAGACACGCGGACACGCGGACACGCTGGCACGCGGACACGAAGACATGCTGGCACACGGACACGCGGATATGCGGACACGCGGACACACAGACACGCGGACACGCGGACACGCAGACACGTGGACACGCGGACACGCAGACACACGGACACGCTGGCACGCTGGACACACGGACACGCTGGCGCGCACACACACGAACACAGACGGACACGAGCGTACGCGGACACGATCACGACTTGTCGCTGCCCACAGCTCTGCCCCCCAGTACTGGCCGGAGGAGGGCCTCCTGCGCCACGGCCCCATCCAGGTGGAGTTCGCCGGCTGCTCCTCGACGGCGACATCACCAACCGCACCTTCCGCATCTGCAACGTGACGCGGGGTGAGGGCGGGGGGGTGTGGAGCGGGGGGGTGGGGGAGCGGGGGGGGGGGGCCGTTCCATTCCTCGCACCGCCCCGCCGCGCGCCGCCGCGTGCACAGGGGCCGGGGAGTCGACGGCCGCCCCCCCTCCGCGTGTACTCCGTGGGGAGCGGCGGGCGCGGCGGTCATCGCTCTGTGCTGCGAACCTGTCGGCCCGAGTTCCATTCCCGCTCGCGGACAAATATCTTTACCGGTCTCGGGGCTCGAATGAGTACCCGGGGTGGTGTTTAAACACCGGGGAAGACAAAGGCGGCCAGGCGCGGTGCCGGCCACCCCACCCCCTCGCGGGGCCGTGCCGGCCTTGGCGGGTGCCGCTCGCTAACGACGCTTGCCCCGTCGGTCTGGTGAAGGCGACTCGGCGGATCTTTGTTACGCGCTTTCATTTAACTCACTCTGCCTGTTGTTGTTGTCGTTGTATCCTCAAATCTTGTAACTCAATTTTAACCCACTTCCCAATGTGGTATCGACTGCAAATTTGGTATACTTATTTCATACTGATGACAATACTATATTATATCATTAAAAAGATATATCTTTAAACATTTTTTATATGTTATGTTTCGGCTTGGGTCTAATTGTCCACGGTCAACTGACGTTGGCTGTAATTGACCACGGCCCCTTACGTTGTGGCAAGCTTTGGGGCCACTTCCTGGAGTCGTGGAGTTCTTCCATTACTCGTACGGTACACTTCATTAAAGCGTGTTTAAAAAAAAGTTTTTTAAAATATGACTTATTACTTTGCGTTGTTTGTTAGCCGCAGGATGGGTACCGCACGGTGCAGCACTTCCAGTACGCGGGCTGGGCGCTGCGCAAGGACGTGCCGGCCTCACGCCGCTCCTTCCTGCACCTGGTGGCACAGGTGGAGAAGTGGCAGCAGGAGTACGGTGCCGAGGGGCGCGTCCTGGCACACTGCCTGTGGGTGCCGCACGTACACACGCACGCACGCACACGCACGTACACACGCACGCACACACACACGTTCACGCACATACACACGCACGCACACGCACGTTCACGCACGTACACACGCACGCACGCACACACACGTTCACGCACGTACACAAGCACGCACGCACACGCACGTTCACGCACGTACACATGCGCATATGCTGTGTATACCATGTAGACCATGTACACCACGTACACCATGCACACCATGTATACCACGTACACCATGCCACACCGTGTATTACCATGTACACCATCGTGCCACCGTGTACATCACGTACACCATGTGCACCATGTATACCATGTACACCATGTGCACCGTGACATCACGTACACCATGTGCACCATGTACACCATGTATACCATGTACACCATGTATACCATGTACACCATGTACACCATGCACACCATGCACACCATGTACACCATGTATACCATGTACACCATGTACACCATGCACACCATGTATACCATGTATACCATGTACACCACGTACACCATGTTCACCGTGTATACCGTGTACACCATGTAGACCGTGTACACCGCGTATACCATGTACACCATGTATACCATGTACACCATGTATACCATGTACACCATGTACGCCATGTATACCATATATACCATGTCGGTGTACACCACGTACACCATGTACACCGTGTATACCATGTACACCGTGTATACCTCTTCTTTGGTTCTTTCGGTAAAGTCACGTAGAATGAGAATAAAATAATAAATTGATAAAATAAAATAACACAATAATATTCTCGCGACGTTTCGGCCACAACACAAGCGGCCTTCATCAGGTGAAGGGACGAGACTGTCGGGTAGGACAGCGCTGGAGAATATTATTGTGTTATTTAATTTTATCAATTTATTATTTTATTCTCATTCTACGTGACTTTACCGAAAGAACCAAAGAAGATGAATCCTTGCAGTCACGAAAGCTTTAAATCGAAATTTAACCGTGTATACCGTGTACACCACGTATACCATGTACACCACGTACACCATGTACACCGTGTATACCATGTACACCATGTATACCATGTAGACCATGCACACGATGTACACCATGTGTACCATGTACACCATGTATACCATGCACACCATGTATATCATGCACACCGTGTACACCACGTACACCATGTACACCATGCACACCATGTATACCATGTACGCCATGTATACCATGCACACCATGTATACCATGTACACCGTGTACACGGTGTACATGGTGTACATGGTATATACGGTGTACACCACGTACACGGTGTACATGGTGTACCGAGTATTGTTTTGTTGCGAGGCCGTGTGAGATGGCGGTGGCTCTGGGAGGCCCTCACTCAGCAGCGGATAGATCGTGGCTGACGACGAGGAGGTCGCGGGGTGCGGAGAGAGGCAGGCAGAGCGGAGGATCGCCGCTGGCGATGGCGGAGCGAGCGGGCTGCTAGAAACTCCGCGGGCGTGCGGCTCGGTGGCGGGGTTAGCGGCCACCGCTAATTGTTACGGAGCCTGGTGGTGATGGTGGTGGTGACGATGGTCGTGGTGGTGGTAATGGTGGTGATCGTGGTTGTGATTGGGCCGATGGTGGTGGTGGTGGTGATTGCGGCGGTGATGGCGATGGTGATAGCAGCGGTAGTTGGGTTGGTGGCGATGGTAGTGATGCTGATGGCGGCAGTGGTGGCTGTGGCGGTGGAGATGGCGGCGGTGGTGGTAATGGTGATGGCAGCCGTGGTGGTGGCGGTGGTGGTGATGATGGCGGTGGTGGTGATGATGGCGGTGGTGATGGCAGTGGTGATGGCAGTAGTGATGGAGGTGTTGGCTGTGGTGGTGGTGATGGTGGTAGCTGTAGCTGTGGCTTTGGTTTTTAATGTTTTGAGACGGGGGCGTAATGCGGAGCGGCGGAGGCAATAAACGTAAATAATCTGGCGTCGCGGTTATTAAACCCACAGGGATAATCACCACGAGTTCCTCCGGCCTTCATTGGACTCTCAGCAGCCGCAGCGGTGCATGGCGAGTTCACTTGGGGAGAGAAAACTATTTTAATGTTTTTCAATAATAAATTAAAATATTTTTTCCGCCACGTCCATACCTGTCAACCCCTTGTCAGTGCCCTACTTTATTACAGACCAATTCAAACCCTATTGGTCACCCCGTGCCCTTATAAATCTCAACGTTCATCCTACCAAGTCGAAAAACAAGGGATAAACCAAACAAATAGACTAAATTTCCCTGTACAAGAATACAGGTACACCGTATGGGTTGACAGGTATGCACATGAGTCACGCCGCCACTTATAGCGTTATACCGGAGTAAATGTTAGCGAGGTGAGAGAGGGTTTAACAGACGGGAGCAGAGCTCAGGATCAGCCATGAGGAGTGCAGGATGAGGATGATGACAGGGAGCAGATGCAGTTGCGTTCCTTCTGCCTCCGTGTGTGGCTCGTACAACACAGATGATGAAGATGTTGTGAAACTCCAGGAGATGGCGGTATAGCTTCTGTCAGTACGGGGATAGAGCGTTGCCCCCTCGCGCAAGTTGTGGGTTTTCTCCGGGTGCTTCGGTTTCCTCCCACACGAATGCAGAACGCTCGTCATTAAACATAAACACCCAACGTAGCAGCAGCAGCAGGACTTCCCGAGTCCTGCAACTCTCTAAATAGGTAAATCAGTAAATGTAGCTTCCTCTGTGCACAGATTATACGTGCATCGTTTCTGTCCCCCATTTTTTTTTATTGGAGGTCAGGATCATTGGGGGTGGCGTCTGGCTGGGTTCCGACCCCAGCTCGCGTCTTCGATCGGTCATTGTGACCGGGCACCAAGCGTGTGATCACACCGCCGCGTTAGAACACGTGCACCATACGGTGTTTAGCGAGCTGCGCTCCGAGCCGGCCAACCGAGTTCGATGCCCCGGCTATGGCTGACGTCAGCTTCAATTGACGTGGGGGATGCGGGTCGTGGGCACGTCATCCCCGCCGGTGCTCTGATCTCTGTCCACGCGCTCGGAGCGATTTGACTCCCAAACGCCTCCACGGCGAGCACTCCGAGTGGAAGCCGCTCCGTGTCCAGCGAGTGCGGAGCTCTCTGCCCAGTCGCCGCTTTAACAACCCCGCTTTGGTGCGGTGTGTGCGTGCGTGCGTGCGATGGTTGATGTGCGTGTCCACGCGATGGTGCGGTGTGTGTGTGGTCGCGGCATAGTAACGGCTCGGGGCGGACCGGCCTTTTCTGCGCCGCTACCAACGTGTGCGAGATGATCCGAAGGCAGAACGTGGTGGACGTGTTCTGCGTGGTCAAGGCCCCTGCGCAACAACAAGGCCAACATGGTGGACCTCGCTGGTGAGGCCGCACGCCACCCCGGTTCATCCTCACACTCGGCTGCCCGTCCACCCACCTATTCACCTACTCATCCAGCCACTCGTCCGCCCGGTCATCACCAGCTTACTAATTCACTCGCACGCTCACGGACACACCCAGATGGGTGTTAATGGAGTGAGTAACGTGCATCAACGCCACCGCGTCTGCGTGTCCCTGTTGCCCCTCCCCCACCCTCCCTACCCCGCAGAGTCAGTACAGTTCTGCTACGACATCGCCCTCGAGTACCTGGAGTCCGGATAGACTCCGGCTACCCCAGCTCACAGAGGTCCTGACCCCGACTCAACCCGTGGTGGACATTCCTTGGCGGGCGGCCCCACCCTGCACGCTTACACGCGAACTGCGGGGGCAACAATGAGCTCACCAGCGCATAAGCATGTGAGCCGGTGAGCTCACGGGCAAGCCGGTGAGCTCAATAGCCAATCGGGGGGGGGGGGGGGGGGGGCAGATGGATGAGCCGGCGAGCTCACAGAGGAAAATCGGGCGTGAGCCAACACCGGGATTTGTGAACTCGCCGGAGCGAACCCCTGGGCCGGAGGGCAACCAGGCGAGTGACCTGGCAGACTTACAAGTGACCTGACGAGCTTATGAGCAACCTGGCGAGCTTACGAGCTATTGCTCGTGTGCTCACTGGCGAGCGGTTTGTTATTTTGGCGGGTGGGCCACCGTCGTCGCAGCGTTGTGGCTTGACAGCTGTAGCCACCCGCGACCCCCGCACACTGCATGCTCCATCTCGTCGTCTCGCCGACGTGCGAGCGGCACGCTATTTTGTAGTTGAGCGTTTACGTCGTTTGTTACGAATCCTCGCGTCGGGGGTTTAGTTACGCGTCCCGGTTTCCAAGGCAGCTGTGCGCCGTGCCGCTTACGAAGGCCGCAATTAGCGGAGGGGGAGTTGTGTAATTATATTTCACTCGAAGTTTTGTGGATTTTACGCAGAAAATAACGCGTTCCGTCGGGCTCTTGACATTTCGCTTTTTTATACTGGTTGTAGCGCCTCGTCGTGCTTATTGTGCAAAATGTTATTCATAAAACGAGCTTTTTAACAAACGCCGACAATTGGTAAACGCTCGGTGAGCCGGATCACCGCATCGTCGCCATTCCTGAGATGAAGCGAAGACACCATGTTGCGGACACGACGGCGGTTTTATTTTTATTTTTTATGTTTGTACAGAATCTCTCCAAACGTGTTTACGTGCGCGCGCGGGCGAGTGTATGCACGCCTCTCCACACGCTTGTGTTTGTGTCTCGCTGTCGCAAGATTCGTCCACGCGAGCACCCGGAATTCACAGCCGTCACGTCACTTCCGACGTCTTTTTTTACACTGCACAACCGAGCCGCGCCGAGCCAGCCTGGCACGGTTCCACTGGCGCCACGGTCCTTTTTCCGCCACTGACGTCATGCGCAGTTAACGAGTGGAGAGGCACGTCGCACGCAACAAACGCATCATTAACCCCGCCCCTGCTTGGCCCTGAGCCACATTTACATGACTTATTGCGAGGCCAGCGCATCACGGTTTGGTCCCGGCTCAGCTAGGATGTGCCAATGGAAAAGGGATAACTGAGACACTCCCCCCACGCCCCCCCCCCCCCCCCCCACTCCACCAGTTTTCGAGTGTGTGGTGCATTTTAGTGTAATTGGTGTGCGGGGTTTAATTGCCACAGCCTGGGACCGTGCCGCTCTGAGCCAGCCTCACGTGGGGTGAGGCTGACTCAAAGCGGCAGCATCAACACCATTGTAAATATGACAGCAGAACCAGCACCATCAACAGCAACATGAGTACCAACATCACGTGTAATAGCAGCACCATCACCAGGACCAAAAAAATATCACCGCCATCAGCAAATTCCGCACCATCATTGTCGCCATCATCAGCCACCAGCACTCACGGCACCAAAAGCCACCACCAGCACGGATAGGTGCTGGCAATGCCCCATAACCCAAGGAATTGCAGCGGCGCACTTTATCTTTTGACTCCCATCGCGTTGCAGGGTCTGGCTGCACAGCAGGAGGACAACCCCTTCTTTTTATACTTGCAAACCACAATACATGAGCCACCCGTGTGCTGCTCTCCAACAATTCGACTTACATTTGGTGATCCCCCCCCCCCCCACCACGGGAGGGGTGCCGGGGCGCGACCCCTCTGCTCGTCCTGTCGGAGAGGGGACGCGGAGAGGTGCGGGGAAAGAGGAGCGAGATTCTGGATACGTGCCACGAGCCAGAGCGCCAAGAGCAGCGCGCCTCTGGTTCCGCGTTACTCCCAGCTTCACAGCGCCGAGCCACGGCAGAGTTAGCGCAGCTAAGACCCCTGGCTGCCGGACGTTCAAATCCACCCGGCTCCCCCACTCTCAAACCCTTGCACCTCCGTTCGTCTCCATCCTTCGAATCCACGGCCAACCACGTGGCCGCCGTTCATCGATCCCGCCCTTCAATTTTATTGGACACCGCTCAGCCAATCGGGGCTTAGGCCAGCTTTCCGCATTGACCAATTGGAGACCCCCCACGCCGTGTTTGAGTGACAGAGACGATTTTTAACGCGTGCGTTGCGGCGGCCAACTTGATTCATGACAGGGCCTTTGGGTCAGATGGCGATAATTGAAATGCGAATCAGTTGATCGGTGTCGCGAGCGTAGGCGTTCCCTTATCAGCAACAAGGGTCCCCCTCTCAAATGGCATTTGCGTTGCTACGTATCATTTCCGGCAATATATTTCGTCGACTTGTTTAACATGTCCTCAAGCAGTGACAACATACCAAATTAATAATTTAATATGCTGTCGGTAATTGATAATGTATTACATGCGTTTGTTAAATATATTTTCGGAAATCAATACTGTGACTACGTCCCTTTCGTCGACACAAACACGTGGCCTGCCGCGCCGCCACGTGGCCAAACGTGGCCACTGCACGCGACGCGCGGACAATCCTCGATTATTCACAGCGGACTGATGACATTGATGATCGTGATATCACGGTCACGGATGATGACGGTGACGATGGTGATGGTAATGATCATGAGGATGGTGAAGACCGCGACGGTGATAATTACCACGGTAATAACGATCATGATGATGATGGTGATCATGTTGATGGAGATCGTGATGATGATGATGATTACGAGGATCCTACATGGCCCCTGGTGTCCCAAAGCTTTTTTTGCAAATCGGGATTTTGTCCCCCGTTTGAAAATTGTCTGGCGTCATGGTGGACTCGTGATGCGGACCAAGGGGCGAGACTACCCGAGTAACGGGGTGAGGTGGGAGGAGGAGGGAGATGTGAAGAGGGCATCAGGAGGGGCATGAGCTGTCTGACCAAAGCGAGTTGTCTTGTGGAGAGAGAGAGAGAGACACACAGAGAGCGCTCCCAGTGCGGGACGGGAGAGGACGACCACGTTCGCGCCACGTCTCTGTTCGCGTTTGGTGTCGCGCGCGTGGATCGCGATGTTGTGCCGGGTTCACCTCGGCCGCGGCTTTGGCGAACGAGAGAGTTTGTCGAGTCAGCAGTTCCCATTAAAGGCGCGGACCCTGGCTCCTGGTGCGGTGTGTGTGAGGGTGCGTGTGTGTTGTGGCGCGGTGATTAGCGCCCTGCGCTACGAACCCGGCGACCAGAATTCGATTCCCGCTCACGGCCACCAACACCATTGACGATTATGTTATCTGTACCGGTCCTGGGTCTCCCCTATGTCGGCTCAGCACGGTTGGTTATGTACGGTGCTAAAGAAGTTCAACACACACATGCCCGCGCATGTGTGCTGTGCCGGCCTTCAGAGGTGCTCGCTAACAGCACTTGCCCCAAGAGTGTGTTAAAGGTTACACGGGGGATCTTTGTCTTGGGTGTGTATGTTCGTGAATTGGGTGCCAGTCAACCCGTGAGGCCTGCGTCCGTCCCGACACCTGCCCACGAGCCTTCGACACTTCGCGTGGCCTCAAAGTGCAATGTTCCCCCACTACCACGCGGATCGGAAACATCGACTTGAGCAAAGAAAATGGAGCGAAAATCTACAAAGTGAGCAAAGCTGCCATGGAGAGATGACAGCTTGGCGTTGAGAGACGAGAGGAGCAACCACGTGGTTCAGAGGGCACGCAACGTGCACCACTGCCTTCAACAAGACTGGAGCTGGGCACGGCACGGTCGCTGGTGGACACCGGATGGGAGCCGAAGGAGAGATCACTGATGACGCGTGGCCACCCAGGAAGGCCTCACTGAGCCTCGTGACTCTTTTGCAGGAGGCTCCTGCCAAGCGTTGTAATGGGGGAGGCGGGGGGGTGGTCACTTTGTAAATCCCAATCGAGTAATTTGCGGTAATTTTAGTTTTTTATTTGACAAATCTTGATAAGTGACGCCGGTGCACAGTGGCTTCCTCTCGCAATAGACGCCACGGGATCTTTAACGTCCACTGGGAAGCCAGCGGCGCTGAGTATCGTCACGGTGAATGCGCACGCCCACGGTATTGATCGGGGCGGCCGCAGGAGTCGAACCGCGAGCCTCTGCAGCAAGCAGTGAACTCGCCTGCCGCTCAATCGCGTCACTACGACGATGGTGGATCAGCAAGATCAAAACTTGAAACTATTACATTTATAGCCAAACACTCACAACTCATGTTTCTAACTGTGGAAGGAAACCCGAAGGACCCGGAAAAGAATCCACGCGCCCATCGAGAGAAACGCAACCTCCAAATATACAGCAGCAGGGTCTGGATCGAACCCACGACCTCCTTGCAACCAGGCGAGGGAGTTAACATCTACCACGACCTCCTTGCAACCAGGCGAGGGAGTTAACATCTACCACTACCTCCTGTGTACCAGGCAAGGGAGATAACATCTTGCCACCGTGATGATGAGAGAGGGACACGCAAACTCTAAATATACAGCAGCAGGCGTCAGGGTCGGGATCGAATCCACGACCTCCTGTGTACCAGGCGAGGGAGTTAACATCTACCACGACCTCCTGTACACCAGGCGAGGGAGTTAACATCTACCACGACCTCCTGTGTAGCAGGCGAGGTAGTTAACATCTACCACGACCTCCTGTACACCAGGCGAGGGAGTTAACATCTACCACGACCTCCTGTATACCAGGCGAGGGAGTTAACATCTACCACGACCTCCTGTACACCAGGCGAGGTAGTTAACATCTACCACGACCTCCTGTACACCAGGCGAGGGAGTTAACATCTACCAGGACCTCCTGTGTACCAGGCGAGGGAGTTAACATCTACCTCGACCTCCTGTGTACCAGGCGAGGGAGTTAACATCTACCACGACCTCCTGTGTACCAGGCGAAGGGTAGTTAACCTCTTCCACGACCTCCTGTACACCCAGGCGAAGGTAGCTTTAACTTTCTACCACGACCTCCTGTACACCAGGCGAGCGGGAGTTAACATTCTACCAACGAACCTCACTGCTCCACCAGGCGAGGTAGTTAACATCTACCACGACCTCCTGTACACCAGGCGAGGAGTTAACATCTTTTCTACCACGACCTCCTGTGTACCAGGCGGATGGTAGTTAACATCTTTCACGACCCTTTTCCCTGTATACCAGGCGAGGGAGGTTAACATCTACCACGACCTCCTGTGCACCCAGGCGAGGTAGTTAACATTCTACCACGACCATCCTGTATACCAGGCGAGGGAGTTAACATCTAGACACGACCTCCTGTATAACAGGCGAGCGGACGGTAACACTTCTACCACGGACCTCCTCGTTGTTACCAGGCGATGGACCGTTAAACATCGTACCACGACCTCCTGTATACTAGGCGAGGGGAGTTAACATCCTACCACGACCTTCTGATACCAGGTGAGGGAGTTAACATCTACCACGACCTCCTGTATACCAGGCGAGGGAGTTAACATCTACCACGACCTCCTGTACACAGGCGAGGTAGTAACATCTACCATGACCTCCTGTATACCAGGCGAGGGAGTTAACATCTACCACGACCTCCTGTACACCAGGCGAGGGAGTTAACATCTACCACGACCTCCTGTGTACCAGGCGAGGGAGTTAACATCTACCACGACCTCCTGTACACCAGGCGAGGTAGTTAACATCTACCACGACCTCCTGTACACCAGGCGAGGGAGTTAACATCTACCACGACCTCCTGTACACCATGCGAGGGAGTTAACATCTACCATGACCTCCTGTATACCAGGCGAGGGAGTTAACATCAACCACGACCTCCTGTATACCAGGCGAGGGAGTTAACATCTACCACAACCTCCTGTACACCAGGCGAGGGAGTTAACATCTACCATGACCTCCTGTATACCAGGCGAGGGAGTTAACATCTACCACGACCTTCCTGTACACCAGGCGAGGGAGTTAACATCTACCACGACCTCCTGTGTACCAGGCGAGGGAGTTAACATCTACCACGACCTCGTGTACACCAGGCGAGGGAGTTAACATCTACCACGACCTCCTGTATACCAGGCGAGGGAGTTAACATCTCGTAGCCACCGTGGCGCCAGGAGCAGAGTGGATTGGAGCGCGGCGCGTCCCGAGGGGATGGTGACGGCGTGGGGCGGCGACCTTCATCCAACAGTGGAAAGATACTGGCTGATAATAATAATAATAAACAGGGGAGTCCACCAGGTAAGCACGTTCTTGGCTTTTAATGTCCAAAACCACGACCTTTCCGCATTACAAAATATAATAACATTAACATAGACGCGTGTGATCGTTAATACGGAATAGACAGCGATAGGTTCACACTACGCGTCACCAATACTGTAAGACGAGCACTGAACTGCTGTGGGGTCGTGATGGGCTACCGTATTCTCTCGATTAGGAGACGCACTCCCTCTATGTCAGCAGCAAAAGTTGGGCGATCATGTCTGTAATCTGGAGAGATACGGTAAATCAGGAGATCGGAGACGACCTGGGAAGATCAAAAGAGCAGGGAACCTCACAGGAGAGGGTCAGGGAGAGGAGTAGAGAGAGAGCGCAGGAGGTAACGAGGGGGATCAGGGGGAGCCAGAGAGATCACGAGCTGAGAAAGGGGATCGGCAGGCAATAAGGGGAAACCAAGGGAACCGGAGAGACCGGGGGGCTCTGAGAACAGCGGGGATCGGGGAGGGATCGGAGTCCTGGAGAGACCAGGAGCCAGGGGGGTCGCGTGGGACATCAGGGCGCCTCTCACGCGTCCCGCACCACGAGGGGTACAATGCTCACTCCACTGCTAGCGTGGCTACGCAGGAACATGCAGCCCTGGCCACGCCTGACCCGGCCGGCCTTTGGGCTGGGGTCAGGGTTAGGGCCCGGGTCACAGTGACGAAGCGGAGATGACGAGACTTCATTCTCCACATCATCATCATCATCACGATCATCACAATCATCATCTCTAGAGCGGTCTGAAGCTAAAGTGCGGAAATCTCTCCTCTCTCTTCATGGGTGGGGGGAGGAAGTCGGGCGTGGACGGTGGAGAAAGTGGGGGTGCATGGTGGGGGTGGGGGGGTACATGGCAGGGGGTGTGGGGGTACTTGGGGTGGGGGTGAGACCATAGCAGCGAAATCCACGGCAGACGAGCCTGGTGGAGATGATGACGATGATCGCGACGCGTGGTTCACCAGGAGTCTCGAGACTCAAGCCAGGAGGGTCCTGCCAAGTCCATGATGCTACCATGCACAATGATGTGCACCTCCGATGAGCACGGTTGGCTACGTTCAACATATTTACACACATTATTGATGAGATTGCTGCTGTTGATGATGATGCTACTGATTATGATCATTTCGTATGGCTGATGAAGATGCAGAGCATCTACAATTTCACATTCAGCTGTTCAAGGCAGATAACGGCGTCAGATTATAATCACCAATGATGATGATTTTGCTCATGATTATGCTGCTGCTGCGGATGATAATTCCTGAATGATGCCACTGTCGATGATGGTGACAATAACAATAAACTGACTTCATAAAGCTTGCGAATGCTGGGCTGGTGGGGGGAGGTAATGCGTGGGGTTCGCGAGGTCGAGGAGTCAAGGTCAGGGCAAGCGTCAGGGTCACCGTGTCACCAGCTCGCGTCCCAGACGCGCTGCACACGAAAGTGACTGGCGGGGGTGACGCGTGAAGGTTGGCGAGGAGCCACGCTTTGCCCCGCCACAGAGCGAGTCACAGATGCAGTGGTCATACCCACTGTACGCAGGCCACGTGGAGAGGGACACGTGGTCTTAATATGTATGCACTGCACATATATACCTACGTGTATTTGATCAAATATATACCCATTATATTCCAGATATACGATATATACTATGTAAATGTAGGTTATTTATATATATTTTTAAAAAAAATAACATACTAACATATTCGAATTGTATCATAGCTCTTAATATCATTGTATGAGTGTGTGTCTGTGAATATTTGTGTATTTGTGTGTATGTGTGGCTGTATATGTGGGGCGTGGTGGAGCAGTTTGTAGCGCACTGCGCTACAAACTTGGTAACCCGAGTTCGATTCCAGCTCAGGGCTAACGTCAATGGCGACTGATATCCGAACCAGTCCTGGGTCCCTCCCATAGGTCCACTTAGCTGTGGAGACAAAGGCAGCCGGGCAAGGAACTGCCCACACCAGCCTCCATAGGTCCTTGCAAACAGCATTGCCCCCAACAGTCTGTGCAGGCTACACAGGAAGTCTCTGTGTGTGTGTACCTGTGTGTGTGTGTGCCTGATCGATGCCCGGGTACGGTCAAGGGATGGCTCCCTATTGCTCAACCACGTTATGTATACCGATGATTTGGTAATAGCTGGAGATGGGGCCTTACCACCAACCCCACCAAATCTAAGCACCTGCCCTGGGTATTTTGTACCATCGGACACTCCACCCCACAACTCCCAATCGGTGATGGGCAGTTGTGGAGAGAGTGGAGAGTTTCTCATACCTGGGCAGTGTGCTTATGACTGGCTCCAGTTTAACAGCAGAGGTCTCACTCGAATCAGTCGAGCGGCAATATCTTTTCATCGGTTGCGTAACGCTGTGTGGAAGCTACCTGGTCTGTCGCTCCGCACTAAGCTTCAGGTCTTCTCGGCCACGGTCATTCCCTCCCTTCTCTATGCTTGCGAAACGTGGACCCCCCTAATGGACATCTTCGCCGGTTAGAAACATTTAGGCTGGCCTGCCTACGATCCATCCTGGTTTAACCAGACTGGATTGTGTGAGGAGCTCACAAATCCTTGAAAGATCTGGGCAAGGTCCCATCGGTGAGCTCCTCCGGCGGGCAAGGCTGCGATGGCTGGGTCATGTAGCCCGCATGCCCAGCCAACGCATGCCGAAACAGCTTTTGTTCGGCCTGATTGAGGGGGCTAAGCCGGGCGCGGCACGGGCTAGAGAAGAGATGGAGTGATGTGGTACAGGAGGACGTGGAGCTGAGTGGACTTGCCGATGACTGGTACCAGCGGTGTCAAGATCGACCTCTGTGTAGGAGGCTCGTGAAGGATGCTACTGGGCAGGTTGGAGGTAGTCGCCCTCCAACAACAACGGAGGGCGGAGGAGCGACGCTCACAACAACGGAGCGCAGCGCCGGGTGGCTAAAGCACAGCAGATTGGCACAGTAGGGGGCACAGGTGGTGCATCAGCCAGTCATCTCAGTCATCTTAGTCAGTCGACCCGTGGCACTTGGGTCTGCCCCGTGACCTCCTGCCAGTGGGCGTTCGACACTTCACGTGGCCTCAAGGTGCACATGGCCTGGCACAAGCGTCGTGGTGACGTCACCGCCACTTAGTGGTGAATGGCGGTTGTTGTGTGCCTGTGTGTGCGCGCCTGTGTGTGTGCCTCTGTGTGTGCCTGTGTGTGCGCCTGTGTGTGTGCCTGTGTGTGTGTCTGTGTGTGTGCCTTTGTGTGTGCCTGTGTGTGTGTCTGTGTGTGTGTGCTTGTGTGTGCGCCTGTGTGTGTGTCTGTGTCTGTGTGTGTGTGCCTGTGTGTGTGCCTGTGTGTGTGCCTGTGTCTGTGTGTGTGTGCCTGTGTGTGTGTCTGTGTCTGTGTGCCTGTGTGTGTGTCTGTGTGTCTTTGTCTTTGTTCACGGTGTGTGGATACACTTTGGGCAGCGCACTGCGCTGTGAACCCGGTCACCTGAGTTCGATTCCTGGCGACATCAGTGAGAACACGTGATCTGGACCTGTGCTGGCCTTCATCCAGATAGGCTCGGCCTACAGTGTTGGTCGCACCACTCCGCCACTGTCATCCCGACCTTCATAGCTGCTTGCTAACTGTCCGCAAGGCTCTGTCGAGAATTGGAGTCTATATGCCGCACACACGCAGCTCTTTGCCACTGCTGGATGACGGCCTCCCCACGCATTGCAGCTCGTGGGGGTTATCTGACCAGATGTCAACACGTTGGTCAGTTCGGGTTGGTGTATGGGAGCAGTGGCGGGGAGCATAGAAGCGCAGCGTAACAATGGATGTCACTGCCCCGCCCCCCAATTCTCGGTGTAAGCAGAGGTCTGGGTTCAATCGCACGTCCCTTGGGCTCCAGTCCCACCCGGCCGATCTGACCCACGCTAGGCTGAGACCCGTTTCAGTCGGCGCTTGACGATCCATTCCGCGTTCCTGTTCACGGCGCACAGCTCCATCATGCGCGCCCCGTTGGCCAGAAACCCGCTCGTCTGGGGGAACACGCACAGCGGCCGCCGCCATGGTGACGCTCCGGCGAGACGTGGGAACGAGAGCACGAGGACCCCCGGTCGGCGGTTCACGCTTCCAACCCCGGCGAGTGGTGGGCGCGTCCACGTGGAGGGTTCATGCCACGGCAAGGATGTGGGGGGGGGGGTGGGAGGTGGGGGGTAGGGGGAGGTAGGGGGGAGGTGGGGGGTGGTGGGGAGAGGTGGGGATTGGGGGGGGGAATGGGGGGGATGGGAGGGATGGGGCGGTGGGGAATGGGGGGGGATGGAGGGGATGGGGGGGTGGGGGGGTGGGGCATGGCGGGGTGGGGGAATGGGGGGGTGGGGGGGTGGGGGGGATGGGGGAGGTGGGGGGGGTAAAGCGGCCGAGAGACCAAGTTCACCGTGGTCCACGCCGTCGCCTCCCGGGTTGGGCCTCTCGGCCGCTTTACCCCCCCCCACCTCCCCCCACGGTAACGGGGGGGGGTCACGGTAACGGGGGGGGGGGTCACGTAACGGGGGGGGGTCCCCCCCCCCCCCCCCCGGTAACGGGGGGGGGGTCACGGTAACGGGGGTCACGGTGGGGGGGGGGGGTCCATGGCCCACAGGCTCCCTGCCCCTGCCATGAGGCTCCACTCACCGATGTTGCCCTTCGTCTCGCAGAGGCAGCACTCGTCGAGGAACGAGCTCTTGACGTGCAGCTCTCTTCTAGAGGGGGGACGAGAGAGTGCATCGTCGTCATCATCAGACACGATACATAATCTTCATTGTCATGGCACACACTATCCATCATCATATCGGATGATGATAATGATGCACCTCCCATTAGCAGGGACGAGACGCAGAGACTCAGAGACGCAGAGACAAGACTCAGAGACAAGACAGAGGGGCGAGAGAACCATCCATGGGTCCCCGATGAGCTGCACTACATCACCCCCCCCCCCCCACCTTTGGCGCAGGACGTGCTGCTCGAAGCAGACGAGGACGTCGCCCACCGTGGTGCCACGGACCAGGTCCACGGCCAGCTCGGGCACGCGAAGCCACCCGTCGCCTCTCACCGTGATCACGCCCGTCGGCTGCTCGCGCGACACGTAACACCATCGGCATCGGCGTCGTCAGAAGCAGCAGCATCAGCAGCAGCATCAGAAGCATCAATCATCAGCAGCAGCATCATCGGTATCATCAGCATCATTAGAATCAGAAGCATCATAATGATCAGCAGCAGCATAAGTAACAGCAGCATCATCAGCAGCAGCATCATCATCACCAGTCTCAACATCATCATCAGCAGCATCAGCAGCATCAGCAACAACATTATTGGCAGCATCATCAGGAGCAGCATCATCATCACCAGTCTCAGCATCATCATCAGCAGCATCAGCAGCATCAGCAACAACATTATTGGCAGCATCATCAGGAGCAGCATCATCATCACCAGTCTCAGCATCATCATCAGCAGCATCAGCAGCATCAGCAGCAACCTTATTGGCAGCATCATCGTCAGCATCATCATCATTGGCAGTGCCACCTCCCACCTGTGCGGGATTTGTCCGTAGTGCTGAACCCTCTCGACCCCCCTGGATGCGTCTCAGGAACCTGAGCCCCCCCGCGTTGGCCCCGTGCTCCTTCTGACGATGCCGCTGCCTCAGCTCGTTCTGCTCCCTCACCTGGCGCAGCAGGAACGCGGGGACCTGGGGGGAGGGGGGGGACGAGAGGAGCGAGGGGGAATGGTCGTTGAATGGAACATTACTCCAATAGCAGCCCCCTGTATCTGCGGAATGCTTCTGTAACTCATCGTTATATTGTAACTATAGTCAGTCTAAAAATAATCTGCCCGAGTCAGCTTTTGCCTCGCAGGGAATTTATTATCGAACATGTTTGTGCAATATATTCGCTTCCCCATGCGACAGAGAAGTTGTCTCTGTGCCCCTTTCTATTTGCTCCATCGCTGTACTTGATTTAGATTTGCCTTCGTCACCCACGCAGGAGTGCACACACTGATCAACGCGTGAACACACGCACACACAACGTACACAATTACATCTTCACAAAGACAAAGACGCCCCCTATAGCCTTCAACAGATTGTTGGAGCAAGTGCTGTTGGCGAGAACCTGATAGTTGCCAACACCACGCCCAGCCGCCTTCATCTCCCCAAGTGGCGACGTTTACCAACCGCAACAGATACGTATTTGAAGCTGAGTCGACCTAGGGGAGGCCCACGACCGGCTCAGATAACCATCACCGCCCGCACCAACACACATACAGAGACCCCTCCCACGGCCACACGCGCACCGTCCAGATGATGTGGCGGTAGTTGACGAGGAAGGCCACCACGTCCGCCGTATCGGCGTGCGCCTGCATCTGCGCCCACTCCCGGCCCATGCCGCGTAGCCCCTTGGGCATGAAGAGGTTGGGGGCCATGATCTTGGCGACGTTGCCCAGCCCCATGCGGTTCTGCTGCTCCCTCGACACCACCTTGCCCAGTAGCAGCAGCAGCGCCTGCGTGGGGCGGGGCGGAGGGGATGGAGGAATCGGGGCAGAGGTTTTAGACCATTTATCGATATGTTCATTATTTTGTTTTATGTTCTGAGGGTTTGCATTCACTTATTCATCGCCATAAACAGGATGTAGGAGACGGGACGGCTGGAGGTGTTCCGAGTGAACCAGGCGTTGGACCTGCCACCAAATCTTCCGAAGTCATCAGATCTTGCAAGCTGAGCGGGGGTAGTGCCTGGCTAGCCGTGGCCGGGAATCTAACTCGGGTCACCGGGTTTGTAGTTTATCACGCTAGCCGCCATGCCCCCCCCCCCCCACACACACCTCGACTGCCCCCCCCCCCCACCGCACGTTGCCCAACCAGACCCTGGTCACGAACCCTAACCGTGACCCCGACCCACCGACCCCCAGCTCCCCCACACCGTCACCCACGGCCCCCACCTCCAGCGTGTCCCTGTTGGCGTCGGGCAGCAGCAGCACGAGCAGGTTGAGCGCCTGAATTCTCTGTCTCGTCGAGTTGATTTCTGGTGAGGACGGTGGGGGGGAGAGAGGGAGAGAGGGGTGAGCGGTTGGGGTGAGCGACATCACACCGATGATTGGTTCGTATTGAACGTGCACCAGTGTGCACGTATAGCCGCGTGAATGTGCATGCATACATGCATGGACGTGTGTATATGCACGTATGTGTACACGTGTTTGTGTGTACACATGTGTTTGTGTGTACACGTGTGTGTGTGTGCGTCTACACTCGTGTGTGTGTGCGTGTGCACGTGTGTGTACACGTGTGTGTGTGTGCGTGTACACGTGTGTGTACACGTGTGTGTGTGCGTGTACACGTGTGTGTACACGTGTGTGTGTCCGTGTACACGTGTGTGTACACGTGTGTGTGTGTGTGCGTGTACATGTGTGGTACGGCAAAAACCCCCTACCTCCTCGCGGTGCCGGACGGGCAACTCTGTCGTGGACAGCGCTGTGGGGGGAGATCCAATTTTGATTGGCTCCTCCCTCATGGCATATGTGTCCACCACGGGGCTAAACGGGGCTCTGGACGGGTGCGAGGGGCTGGTAACCCCTCCACCTTCAATTAATTACCACGAAACTACGAATTAAACTGAAATATGTAACAACTAAGCTTGTGCCGGAGGCCCGGGGGGCAGCGTCTATGACGTCTCCTGGCAACCCCAATTGCGGAGCCAGGAGATTGAATACCTACCCTCGGGGCTACTCCAGAAACAACGAAAAGCCACTACGGTTGGCCACGTGGAATGTTCGAACGCTCACTGCAGAGGAGAGGCTGCCACTCCTCTGTCGGGAGCTGGACCGGTACCGCCTGGATCTATGCGGCATTCAGGAGGTCCGGTGGACCGGCTCTGGCTCCTGCCACCATGAGGGGTGGACAGTCCTCTACTCGGGGCAGCAGACTGCCAAACAACAGGGTGTGGGTCTTCTTTTGAACAAAAGAATGAAGGGGGCGTGGGAGCGTGGCGGTGAGGTGTGGGAAGCTGTAAGCCCCAGGCTACTTTGGGCTCGCCTTCCCATCAACCGGAGGCGAGGAATGGTGGTCGTGGTTACTTATGCCCCCACCGAAGATGAACATCCGTGGAGGGATGCAGGCAAAGCCGATGAGTCAGATGCCTTCTATGACCTCCTGTCACAGGTGCTGGCTAAAGTGGCCCCTCGGGATAGAGTCATCATGTTGGGTGACTTCAATGCCCGAGTTGGTCATGATACTGGCACCTGGTCTGGAGTGATTGGAGGGCATGGGCCAGATCAGCTCAATAACAACGGTAGGAGGCTGCTAGATTTTTGTGCAGCCCATGGGCTTGTAATTACCAACACGCTGTTCCGGCATCGGCGCATCCACACAACATCATGGATGCATGCCGGGTCCAAGCAAGAACATCTGCTGGACTACATAGTGACGGACCAGCGAATGCGAGCCCATGTCCTTGACACCAGGACCTACCGTGGAGCTGATCTGCCCTCTGACCATCGACTAGTCATCTGTAAGATGCGCCTGCCATTCTTCCACTCCGGTGGTGGGTGTACACCCAGGACCCCATTCCAACCTAAAGTGGCCTGGTCTCAGTTATCTGATGAAAGTTGCAAGCGAGAATTTCATCATCGCTTGCGGCTGGGATTGGCATCGTCCCCGACTCCTCCTGATGTCGAGGGTAAATGGGCGAGGTTTAGGACTGTGACTCATGCAGCTGCAATGGCTGCTTTGGGTACGCGGTCCAGACCTCCCCAGACACCCTGGATGACAGAGGAGTTGTTCAGGATGGTTGAGAAAAAGCGACAGGCCCACTGTCATCGGATACAGAATCCCACGTCAGAGAATGAGGAGGCTTACCGCAGCCTTCGCTCGGAGGTTCGGAGAGCCGTGAGGCGCTGCAAGGATGGGTGGTGGTCGCGGGTTGCTGAGGAGATGGAGTCTGCCTCAGTGGCCCGTGATCACAAATCTCTATTTAACTCCATCAAAAAAGTAACCTGCAGCGCCACACCTATTACCATCATTAGGGGAAAAAACGGTGATCCAATTTCTGACCCCCAGGAACAGGTTCGCAGATTTGCTGAGCATTTCTGTGAGGTCCTGGGGGAGGGAAAATCCCTCAGCCAGGAAAACATCGTGGCACAAAGTGAGGATGACCCTGCTGAGGCTGCGGTGCCTCAAATATTGGATGAAGTCACCCCCTGTGAGTGGCTGGCTGAGGTGCCATCTGCTGAGGAAGTATTGAAGGCGATCCGGAGTCTGAGACCAGGAAAGGCAGCGGGCAGAGATGATCTCCCAAGCGAAATGCTGAGGGAGGGTGGCGTTTGTGCACAGACTGCCCTATATGACATCATAACAACAGTCTGGACCACTGGACGGGTTCCGCAGGATTGGAAGGATGCCCTGGTGGTCCCCCTTTTTAAGAAGGGGGACCGCACAGACTGTAACAACTACAGGGGCATCTCACTCCTCAGTGTGCCGGGAAAGGTCCTGGCAAGGATTATTCAGCATCGCCTTGCCAGGCACGCTGAGGAGAGGCTTGCGGAGCCCCAATGCGGTTTCAGGAAAGGGCGGTCCTGCACAGATGCCATATTTTCTGTCCGTCTGCTACAGCAGAGGTGTAGGGAATTCCAACAAGACCTACATCTCTGCTTTATTGACCTGGTCAAGGCCTATGATACCATCAGTAGGCCTGGGCTCTGGGTCGTTCTTCGTGCTTTTGGAGTACCTGACCCTCTGCTCACGATCATTAAGGACCTTCATGATGGTGAGCGGGCCCGGGTAAAACTACGTGGCCGGGAGTCAGAGCCATTCCCTGTACACCTTGGGGTGCGACAGGGATGTCCTCTGGCTCCCACATTATTTAACATCTATTTTGACCACGTAGTTCGTGAAGCCTTCAATAGCTGTACCGGGGGAATCTCCATATGGTACAGATATAATGGGAGGCTAATCGATGCCCGGGTGCGGTCAAGGGATGGCTCCCTATTGCTCAACCACGTTATGTATGCTGATGACTTGGTAATAGCTGCTCAGTCAGAGGAGGAGTTGGAGACGCTGCTGCTGAGACTGGAGCGTGCCACTAAGAGGTGGGGCCTTACCATCAGCCCCACCAAAACTAAGCACCTGCCTGGGTATTTTGTACCATCGGACACTCCACCCCCACAACTCCCAATCGGTGATGGGGCAGTTGTGGAGAGAGTGGAGAGTTTCCCATACCTGGGCAGTGTGCTTATGACTGGCTCCAGTTTAACAGCAGAGGTCTCACTCCGAATCAGTCGAGCGGCAATATCTTTTCATCGGTTGCGTAACGCTGTGTGGAAGCTACCTGGTCTGTCGCTCCGCACTAAGCTTCAGGTCTTCTCGGCCACGGTCATTCCCTCCCTTCTCTACGCTTGCGAAACGTGGACCCCCCTAATGGAACATCTTCGCCGGTTAGAAACATTTAGGCTGGCCTGCCTACGATCCATCCTGGGTTTAACCAGACTGGATTGTGTGAGGAGCTCACAAATCCTTGAAAGATCTGGGCAGGGTCCCATCGGTGAGCTCCTCCGGCAGGCAAGGCTGCGGTGGCTGGGTCATGTAGCCCGCATGCCCAGCCACCGCATGCCGAAACAGCTTTTGTTTGGCCGGATTGAGGGGGCTAAGCGGGCGCGGCACGGGCTAGAGAAGAGATGGAGTGATGTGGTACAGGAGGACGTGGAGCTGAGTGGACTTGCCGATGACTGGTACCAGCGGTGTCAAGATCGGCCTCTGTGGAGGAGGCTCGTGAAGGATGCTACTGGGCAGTTGGAGGCAGTCGCCCTCCAAAACAACGGAGGGCGGAGGAGCGACGCTCACAACAGCGAGCGGAGCGCCGGGTGGCTAAAGCACAGCAGGTGGCACAGTAGGGGGCACAGGTGGTGATCAGCCAGTCATCTCAGTCAGTCGACCGTGGCACCTGGGTCTGCCCGTGACCTCCTGCCAGCGGGCGTTCGACACTTCACGTGGCCTCAGGGTGCACATAGCCTGGCACAAGCGTCGTGGTGACGTCACCGCCACTTAGTGGCGAATGGCGGTTGTTGTTGTTGTTGTACGTGTGTGTGTGCGTGTACACGTGTGTGTGTGCGTGTACACGTGTGTTTGTGTGCGTGTACACGTGTGTGTGTGTGTGCGTGTACACGTGTGTGTCCACGTGTGTGTGTACACGTGTGTGTACACGTGTGTATGCGTGTACACGTGTGTGTGTACACGTGTGTGTACACGTGTGTGTGTACACGTGTGTGTTTGCGTGTACACGTGTGTGTACGCGTGTGTGTGTACACGTGTGTGTACACGTGTGTGTGCGTGTACACGTGTGTGTACACGTGTGTGTGTACACGTGTGTGTACACGTGTGTGTGTGTACACGTGTGTGTGTCCACGCACTGGTGACGGTGGCGAAGGCGATCATGTACTCCACTGTAAGCAGTGGGGTCGGCAGCTCCCGCACGAACATCTTCAGCAGCGCCGCTGCATCCGCAGAGCTCAGCTGCCCCCACGCGAACGAGTCCCGAGTCAGCGGATTGTCCAACTGCTTGCGCGCAGCCTGAGGTCACGGGGGGGTCACGGGGGGTCAAGGGGGGGGGGTGGTCACGGGAGCGTTGGGGGTCAAGGGAGAACAGGAGGATGGACAGCCATGATGATGATGACCGTGGTGGTAGTGTCGGTGCTGCTGGTGGTAGTGAGGATGGTAATGATAATGATGAGGACTGCAGTGATCATGATAACTATTGTATAGATGTTGATGTGTCACAATGATAATGACGGTGATCGTGGTCATCATGACAACAACGATGATCGTGGCAATGGTGGTAGTCATTGTAATTGTGGTGATGCCAACCATCACCAATCATGGCGGTGGTAACGGGGGAAACGATAACGATCGTAAGCGATGATGTGATTATGATGACGTTGATCGTTGACGATGATTACAGAAATGATACTGACGATGACTGTCATGGTGACGGTGATGTTGACTGCGGTGACGACGATGATCATGGTAGTGGTGGCCATGATGCCAATGATGAGCACGATGATGCCCCCCACCCACCCCCTCATCCCCGTCGCTCACCTTCACCCTCGCCGCGTTGCCCGACACGCGCAGGATCCCGTCCTGGTCGAGTCCCTGCTTCTCCAGGTGCTGGATCAGCTGTGAGAGTGGCGGGGTCACACGGGGTCACACAGGGTCACACGGGGTCAACCCTACCCGACCTCCACACACGGGCGCAAGCAATTGCCCAAGCTCTGAGGTTTGCCAGCAGGGGGTGATGGTCCCTTTGCATAGTTTTCTGTAATCATAGTCGCGTAATTTGTGGTGATTTTTGTTATATTTGGAAAAATGTGAACCATGAGACTGCCTAGCAACAATGACCGACTCTTGCGGAATACGTCACGGGATCTTTAACGCCCGCGGTGAGGCAGACGGTCCCACTCGGCGCGCTCTGTAAATGTGCCTGCGGGCGCGGCTTCACCAGAATTTCTGCGTCGTTGTCATCGTCATCAGCCATGATCAATCCAATGCTGGGTGATGGCCTCCCAAAGCTGTCGCCACCTCTCACGACCCCGCGATGGAACAATCCACCCGGCACCAGCTCACGAGCTGACCTCTTTGCTCCATCTCCCCGTTGGACGCCCTTTTGGGTGCATTCCTCTCCTTGACACACACTCCATTCTCTTGACAATCGATCAGCAACCCTTCCTGGGCGCACTTTGTAAGCGTGCTTGTGGGTATGGTTCCTGCAGTGCGCCTGAGTGCAGTGTGAGTTTGCTCACCTGTTCCATGATTCGCGGCACGCAGATGCCTTCCTCTCTCCTCCGGTCCTGCTCCAGGAGCTCGGCGAGGGACACCCCGAACACGGCTTGGTCTGTGGGAGAGACGGCACCGTAAACGTGATCAATAGCAACAGCACGAGACTTGTGCCAGGCTAGGTGCACTCTGAACTCTGCACCCCACACCCCATACCCTGCCACTCCACACCCTGCACCCACACCCTGCACCCACACCCTGCCAACCCACACCCTGCACACAGACCCTTCACACACACCCTGCACCCACACCCACACCCTGCACCCACACCGTGCCAACCCACACCATGCACACACACCCTGCACACACACCCTGCACCCACACTCCACACCCACACCATGCTACCCCACACCCACACCCTGCACCCACACCCTGCACCCACACCCTGCACCCACACCCTGCACCCACACCCTGCCACCCCACACCCACACCCGCATCCACACCCTGCACCACACCCTGCACCCACACCCTGCACCCACACACCCTGCACCCACACCCACACCATGCCACCCCACACCCCGCACCCACACCCACACCATGCCACCCACCTCCGCGCTTGGTCTTGGCCGCCCTGCATCGCTTGAGCTGCAGGCTGAGGCTGTCGAACAGCGCCGTGAGCTCGATGAGCGCCACGCGCCGCATGCGCGTGAGGTCACGTGGGGAGAGCGCGTCCGGGCGCGTGGCGCCCAGCCAGTCCTGGCTCAGACAGAACTCCTGCACAGCGGCGGACAGCGGGGGGGGGTTCGATGGGGGGGGGGGGGGGCGATGGGGGGGGGGGCGATGGGGGGGAGCAGGAAGTGGAGGAGGTCCATCATATTACTGTTTCCATAATCGCCGAGGATGGGTCATCATCGCCATCGCGATCAGCATCAGGGAGCTGGTTATCGGCCAGCTACAACCAGCGCAACCGAAGTGGTGGTAGTCTGGGTAGTGGTTGAGAGTCTCGAATTCTCAGCGCTTGGGGAAAAGAGATGATGGTGATGGGGGGAGGAGGAGGGAAGGGAATTCCAAAGCGGAGCAGTGCGAGGGAAGACGCAGAGAGAGAGAAGAGTTTTGACCTGCAGTGTCGTGAGTGGGTGGGTGGGTGGGTGAGGGGGTGAGTGGGCGAGTAATTGGGTGGGTGAGTGAGTGGGTGAGTAATTGGGTGAGTGGTGAATCAGTGGGTGGGTGAGTGGGTGAGTGAGTGGGTGGGTGAGGGGGTGAGTAAGTGGGTGAGTGAGTGAGTGAGTGGGTGAGTGAATGAGTGAGTGAGTGGGTGAGTGAATGAATGAGTGGAAGAGTGAGTGAGTGAATGGGTGAGTGAGTGAGTGGGTGAGTGAATGAGTGAATGAGTGGGTGAGTGAGTGAATGAGTGGGTGAGTGAGTGAGTGGGTGGGTGAGTGAGTGAGTGAGTGGGTGAGTGAATGAATGGGTGAGTGAATGAGTGGGTGAGTGAGTGAATGAGTGGGTGAATGAGTGAATGAGTGAGTGAGTGAATGAGTGAGTGAGTGAGTGGGTGGGTGAATGGGTGAGTGAATGAGTGGGTGAGTGAATGAGTGGGTGAGTGAATGAGTGAGTGAATGAGTGGGTGAGTGGGTGAGTGAATGAGTGAGTGAGTAAATGAGTGGGTGAGTGAGTGGGTGAGTGCGTGAGTGAGTGAGTGGGTGAGTGAATGAATGAGTGGGTGAGTCAGTGAGTGAGTGAGTGAATGGGTGAGTGAGTGAGTGGGTGAGTGAATGAATGGGTGAGTGAATGAGTGAATGAGTGGGTGAGTGAGTGAATGAGTGAATGAGTGGGTGAGTGAGTGAGTGAGTGGATGAATGAGTGAGTGAGTGGGTGAGTGAATGAATGGGTGAGTGAATGAGTGAGTGAGTGAATGAGTGGGTGAGTGAGTGAATGAGTGAGTGAGTGAGTGAATGAGTGAGTGAGTGGGTGAATGGGTGAGTGAATGAGTGGGTGAGTGAATGAGTGGGTGAGTGAATGAGTGAGTGAATGAGTGGGTGAGTGGGTGAGTGAATGAGTGAGTGAGTAAATGAGTGGGTGAGTGAGTGAGTGCGTGAGTGCGTGAGTGAGTGAGTGAGTGGGTGGGTGAGTGAGTGAGTGAGTGAATGAGTGGGTGAGTGAGTGAGTGAGTGGGTGAGTGCGTGAGTGAGTGGGTGAGTGAGTGAGTGAATGAATGGGTGAGTGAATGAATGAGTGAGTAAATGAGTGGGTGAGTGAGTGGGTGAGTGCGTGAGTGAGTGAGTGAGTGGGTGAGTGAATGAATGAGTGGGTGAGTCAGTGAGTGAGTGAGTGAGTGAGTGAATGGGTGAGTGAGTGAGTGAGTGGGTGAGTGAATGAATGGGTGAGTGAATGAGTGAATGAGTGGGTGAGTGAGTGAATGAGTGGGTGAGTGAGTGAGTGGGTGAGTGGGTGAGTGAATGAATGGGTGAGTAAATGAGTGAGTGAGTGAGTGAGTGAATGAGTGGGTGAGTGAGTGAATGAGTGAATGAGTGAGTGAGTGAATGAGTGAGTGAGTGGGTGAATGGGTGAGTGAATGAGTGGGTGAGTGAATGAGTGGGTGAGTGAATGAGTGAGTGAATGAGTGGGTGAGTGGGTGAGTGAATGAGTGAGTGAGTAAATGAGTGGGTGAATGAGTGAGTGCGTGAGTGCGTGAGTGAGTGAGTGGGTGAGTGCGTGAGTGAGTGAGTGGGTGAGTGAGTGAGTGAGTGGGTGAGTGCGTGAGTGAGTGACTGGGTGAGTGAGTGAATGAGTGGGTGAGTGAATGAGTGAGTGAATGAGTGGGTGAGTGGGTGAGTGAATGAGTGAGTGAGTAAATTAGTGGGTGAGTGAGTGGGTGATTGCGTGAGTGAGTGAGTGAGTGGGTGAGTGAGTGGGTGAGTGAATGAGTGAGTGAATGAGTGAATGAGTGGGTGAGTGAATGAGTGAGTGGATGAGTGGGTGAGTGGGTGAGTGAATGAGTGAGTGAGTAAATGAGTGGGTGAGTGAGTGGGTGAGTGCGTGAGTGAGTGAGTGAGTCGGTGAGTGAGTGAGTGAGTGAAAGAGTGGGTGAGTGAGTGAGTGAGTGGGTGAGTGAGTGAGTGAATGAGTGGGTGAGTGAGTGAGTCCTCAACATCGGTGGATTGTGGGGGGGGGGCTCGTACGGGCAGCCTGGTGCCCGGGGTAAGTTCTGGGGGGGGGCCGTCATGGGAGGCATTCCCCTGCTCCGAGTAGGCGATGTCCGTGCGGAAGAGGCCGAGGTCGGGGGCCCTGTGGGGTTCACGCCTCTCGGGCGGGGGGGGCCGCTCCGAGCCGGCCTGGCGCTCTGCGGCAGAAACGGTCGCATCACCGTGGTTACGCGTTGCAACTCATCACCGTGGTTACGCGTTGCAACTCATCACCGTGGTTACGCGTTGCAACTCATCACCGTGGTTACGCGTTGCAACTCATCACCGTGGTTACGCGTTGCAACTCATCACCGTGGTTACGCGTTACAACTCATCACCATGGTTACGCGTTGCAACTCATCACCGTGGTTACGCGTTGCAACTCATCACCGTGGTTACGCGTTGCAACTCATCACCGTGGTTACGCGTTGCAACTCATCACCGTGGTTATGCGTTGCAACTCATCACCGTGGTTACGCGTTGCAACTCATCACCGTGGTTACGTGTTGCAACTCATCACCGTGGTTACGCGTTGCAACTCATCACCGTGGTTACGCGTTGCAACTCCTCACCGTGGTTACGCGTTGCAACTCCTCACCGTGGTTACGCGTTGCAACTCCTCACCGTGGTTACGCGTTGCAACTCATCACCAGGGTTACGCGTTGCAACTCATCTGTTGTAGCCTGTTGTGGTGGTGGTTGTTGTGGTGGTTGTTGTGGTTGTTGTGGTGGTGGTTGTTGTGGTGGTGGTTGTTGTGGTTGTTGTGGTTGTTGTGGGGGTGGTTGTTGTGGTTGTTGTGGTTGTTGTGGTGGTGGTTGTTGTGGTGGTGGTTGTTGTGGTTGTTGTGGGGGTGGTGGTTGTTGTGGTGGTGGTTGTTGTGGTTGTTGTGGTGGTGGTGGTTGTTGTGGTTGTTGTGGTAGTGATTGTTGTGGCTCCGGGCACCTTCCGCGTCCTTGACGCTGTAGTGCGACGCGCGCGGCTTGAAAGCGCTCAGCATTCCCGACGGACTCACGATGGCCAGCTCGGGTATCGTGAGGGGGTTCCTCTCCTGGGGATCAGAGCTCATCGCCTGGGGGCACGGGGTCAGCAGAGGAAGGGGGGGGGGGGGTGAGGATAGGTGTGTGTACGAGCCCAGTGACCCGAGTTTGATTCCCATTCACAGCCAACACCAGTGACGAGAATCTAAACCGGTCCTGGGCCCCCCCTAGGTCGGCCCAGCCTCAAGTGAGTCCCCGGTAAGCGATGTGTAAACATCGCCACCCACCCCCTCGTGTGCCGTGCCGGCTACCTGCTAGCAGCGCTTGCCCCCACAGTCTGCTGAGGCTACAGGGTCCGGGGCGGGGGGGCGGGGGGGCAGGGGGGGGGATCTTTGTTGGTGCCGCCCACCTCGACGGCGCTCAGGAACACGTCGCGCACGTCACGTGGGCCCTTCTTGTCGGGCGCCCGGGTCGACTGCGTGAAGTTGTTCATGCGCTTCTGCACGGTGATCCTCTGCGCAACGCTCAGGGTGGACATCAGCTCCTCGCGGTGCGACTCCTCGTCCTCGTCCGATTCCACCAGCCCCAGCTCGTCCCCGGCAGTGTCGTCGTCGCCGCCGCCGTCGCCCGCTCCGGTGCGGCCCTTGCGGCTCGACCTCCGCGGCCGCTCCCCCTGGGTCAGGAATCCGGTCTCCTTCAGCCAGTCGGCCTCCTGCTCGTTCTCTGGATGGCGCAAAGACAAAGATTAAGCGCGTAGTCTTAGCGGGCTGTCGAGGCCCACTGCGGGCCCACGGGGGCCCACGAGGGACCACGTTGATCCGACCCTCCCCCGGCCCTCGAGCTCCGCCGCCCAATCTCACCGTCCGGCGTCTTGATCTCCACCAACGTGAAATCCTCACTGCCGCGCCGAATCTTGTTCACCTCGCGCTGGAAGAGGTCCTCCTGCGAGTCGTCGAGCGACTCCTGTGAGGCCCACGAATCGAGGCCCGACGTTTCGCTGCTCTGGCTCAGGCTGAGGCTGGGCGACGGCCTCCTCCTCCCGCCGTCGCTGCCGCTGCCCACGCTGGCGCTCAGGTCCAGCGAAGAGCCGGCTCCTCCTCCGTTCCTCCGCATCATCCTCAACGACGACATCTTCATCATCGTCGTCATCATCATCCCGTTCTCCTGGCTGTCCAAGCCGCCCTTCTCCTCGTCCTCCGCAACGGAGGGTGGCCGGTCCGGCTGGCCGGGGCCTTCCCCGGGGGCCCTCAATGATCTCGGAGCCAGCTCGGGGGACGCGGCGCACAGGTCGATGACGTCGTCGTTGGAGTCGGCGTCGTGAGATCCTCGCGGGGACGAGACTCCGGAATCCGGGGTAGGGTCCCCGTTGGAATCGCCTTTCTCTGAAGAGGAGGAGAAGGAGGAGCGGTCCGTGGTGGCCGCGTGCGGCGAGGCGTAGTAGCCGTTGGTGGCCAAACGGGAGATCGGGGGGCCCCGGAACGGGAGGTTGAGGGTCGGGGTCCGACGGATCCCGGATAAGGGGGCCCCCTCGTTGGGGGACTGCGACACGCGACCAGGAGCAGCGGAGAGCCGGCGGACGGGGGCACGCTCGGCGGAATTGTGAGCGTCACTCCTGCGTGCAATCAGAATCATCTTAATTGTCATCATTATCATCATCATTGTGATCATCATCGCTGTCATAATTTTCTTCATTATCATCAGCAGCATCATCGTCATCATAAGCAGTAGCAGCAATACTACCACCACCACCGCCACCGCTATCATCATTCCCAGCAGCCTTATCATCACCATTAGCAGCAGCAACAGCTGCATCATCAGCAAGAGCAGCAGCACACTCTGGAATGATGTGTGTGCAGTGCATTGTGTGCCATGTCAATCCCCCAATGCTGAGAGGATCGTGAGGATGCTCATCGCCGCACGTGCACACTTTCGGAGGCTTTGCCGCAGGAGGCCGCCCCATTCGCCGCTCTCTGTCTCGCTACTATCGTCCATTGGGGGTTCCTACGCGACCGCGAGTCCCAACATCACCTCTCATGTCTACGGTGCACGATGGGGGGGGGGGGGGGGAGTTCTTTCGTGGTTGTGCCGCGAAGCTTCTTTAGAAACTGGAGACCGCGGAGTGAAATTTCAGAGATGCCGAACAACACGCGGCCCGGAGCCGAACACGCAGCGGACAGCCGCGACGTCACAGCAGCTGTGACGTCACAGCAGCAGTGAAGACGGCAGCCACGTGCACGAGTCATGAGGCCAGAGCGTGGCGCGCGTGGCGGAGCGCAGACACCCTCGGGAGGAGGGGGGGGGACCAAGCAAGGGAAGTCGGGAAAATAAGTGACTACCCGCTCACTTACACACTCACTTACAAACTCACACACTCACCCACTCACTCACCCAATCACTTACCCACTCACTCATTCCCCCACTCACCAGGCCACTCAACTCCTCCACTCAATTACGCACTCACCCATTCACTTACACACATACACACTTACCCATTCACTTACACACTCACTTACAAACGCACACACTCATCCACTCACTTACTCACCCACTCACTCACACACTCACTCACACAATCACGTACACACTCACTCACTTACATAATCATACACCCAACCACTTACAGCTTCACCCACTCACTCACCCACTCAATTACACACTCAGAAACTCACCCACTCACACAATCATACACCCAACCATTTACTGCTTCACCCACTCACCCACCCACTCACTCACCCACTCACCCACCCACCCACTCACCCACCCACTCACTCACCCACCCACTCACTCACCCACTCACCCACCCACTCACTCACCCACTCATCCACTCACCCACCCACTCACTCACCCACTCACCCACCCACTCACCCACCCACCCACTCACTCACCCACCCACCCACCCACTCACTCACTCACCCACTCACCCACCCACTCACTCACCCACTCACCCACTCACCCACTCACCCACTCACTCATCCACCCACCCACCCACTCACCCACTCACTCACCCACCCACTCACCCACTCACTCACCCACTCACTCACCCACTCACCCACCCACCCACTCACCCACCCACTCACCCACTCACTCACCCACCCACCCACTCACTCACCCACTCACCCACTCACTCACCCACCCACTCACCCACCCACTCGCCCACCGACCCACTAACTCAGCCAGTCACGCCGCGCTTCATGGACAGCGGAGCGAGCGCGCGACGTGAAGGAGATGCACTCCAGTGACGTCACCGCGAGCCTGGCTGATCGCTTTGATAAAAATCAACCACCAGGCGCCATCAGCATTATCATCATCCACGCCATGCGGCGAATGCGCAAGCGGCCGTGGCATGCTGATGAGCGATAAGAGCTCAAAACTTGTGCACTTTTTAAAAATCTCATTGCGTGCGTCACTGAATCTGCTGTCAACGTTGGAACCAAATCAAAGTGTTAGGCAGTGGCGTTTCTATCCTCGGCAAGAGTGAGTGCCAGAAACGTCAGCCTCATATGTTATTTTATGAGGCAGCGTTAGTGGTTAAAGGAATGCGATTTCTTAAATGTCATCACAATTAAAAAAAAAATATACAATGTTTTTTATTTACACGGGATCGCCTCAATGAGTCTCAAGACTCGATTCCACGAGGGTCCTGCCCCACGTTCATGAGTTTGGCTTCTTCGAGTTGGAGGTCAACCAGAGAAATCTCATCACGGATACCTGGGGATGCCGGATTCAGCTAGTGCCGGGCCTGTAGATTATGTTATAAAGGGGCCCTAAAAACATTTTAAAAAACACATAAATATTAAAACACTAATTGTAACTTGCATAGCAAAGTCACTGTATTTTTTTATTTACTATACAGGCAGATAATACGACAAATTTCTAACGTTAAACACCCAGTCGTTCATAATAGTTGAAGGCAGTATAGTACTATAGTAATAGAGCAAGTGCAGAATCACTGAACCGGAATTGATAGCTTGAAGGCATTTAGCGCGGGGCCCTTGAAAGTGCGGGGCCCGTAGCTACTACATATGTAGCTACTACATGTGTAGCTACTACATACGTAGCTACTACATATGTAGCTATTACATACGTAGCTACTACATACGTAGCTACTACACTTGTGTAGCTATTACATACGTAGCTACTACATACGTAGCTACTACTTGCTGCAAGGACAATCCAGCACTGATACCAGGGGGTGACACTCAAAGCTCTGGGATTCTATCATCCATTGCTGTTCTACCAAGGCAATCTGAGCACTACCCGGGCTCAATCCCACTTCGCTTTTTGGGATCCGACGAGGTCCCGGAGGATTTAGTCGGAGGTGGCAACTCTCAAAATCTGGTTCTTACTCAGCCGAGCGAGAGGCGGTGACGATGTTCTGTTTACAGCTCAGGGCCGATGGTGAAATTCCACATTCTATTTGTCGGGGAAAGTACGTCTATTCCACAAGCATTGCCCCTTACCTTCCAAGTGGTGGCTCCATTATTCACGGTGGCTAGGAGATGTTAACTACCTCGCCTGTTATGCAGGAGTTCGTCGTGTCGATCCCGACCCTGACGCCTGCTGTATATTTGGAGTTGTGTTTTTCTCTCCCCGTGATCGCATGGATTTTTCTCCGGCTTTCCCCTCCACATTTAGAAACATGCGTTGAGATTATTTGGCTGCTATGAATTTCCACATGGGAAGCCACTTCGTTGAGCTTTCATTTGTGGTCAGGTCGCTTCTGAATTAAAGCTATATAGCTCAGGGGGGCCTTACCTAGTAAAATATGTTTTTTATAGTGTTAGTTTATGATCGATCCCCGAGGCATAAAGAGCTCTTGGGATGTTATTGAACTCTCGTCACGTCGTGCAATCACCGTCATCGCAATCGCACCTCCGGCTGACGTCACGAAACGCGTTCCAATCATTCCGCCGTGAGCCCGAGAAGTTGTCGTGGTGAAAAGTTAAACGAAAACCCCCGGGTCCGCGAAGACGCACGGCTCGTTCTCCGAGAGGGCGCCCATCACCTGACCTAGCGAGTGGACGGAAATGTTTGAATGGAATTGGGAAAAAAACAGAAGCTCATAGCTCAGCGGCCACCGCCTCACTGCCATCTGCGAGTCGCAAAAAAAACACAGCCGACAAACGGGCAAAGCGTGCGGGAAAGCGCGTGTGGATTTAGCAACAGGGCTTGTTGCAGTTGGCGGCCCGCAACAATAACACGGCCGCACACGTTCAGCGCTGTCGAGTTGGTGGCTTAAACAAGGCTGAGAGCATTGCGCACGTGGTGTGGTGGTCACATGACATGCATGCAAGGCATTATGGGAGTCGAGCCCTCAAGATGTGTTTGAGCTTCACACCTCGGGCGTGGTGCTGGCCACCCGCCCCCTCGTGCGCCGTGTCAGCCTTCACAGGTGTTACTCGCTAACAGCACTTGTCCCAACAGGACGCTAAGGCTATACGGGTGATCTTTGTCTGCTTGCTATCTCTGTGTTGCCGTCCTGCGCGACGCAGTTCCGTGTCGCGATAGGATTTCTCATCATTCGCAGAAAATGTTGGATATTAATTACGGCGCATGCAAGGCGACGTCAGAAGGCGGGGACTGCAGGCCAGGTCATAACGTGGGCAGCCTTCCGTGACAACTATCATCCATGATGACGGGTTGCTTGTGTTAGATTGCGTAAATGTGAATGTGTCATTAAATCCGCCCACCCTTGGACACAGCCAATTAGTGAGGCTTGTCACGAAAACAAAACGTGCCAATTAGTTTCTAGTTCGAAGGTAAACCCACAACATGTACAATTCAAGAACGACGTTTCGCTGGTGATCACAACCGGCGTCTCTATTCTGATTTGCAGGTCAATCGACGCGCTGCAGCGGACGACTGCGGACGGGGAGGCGCAGCGTGAGGAGGTAGTGGAGGAGGAGTGGCGACCGTGTACTCAGGGTTTTGTGTTTGTCAACGCCGACGGCTATTTTTAGATTCGCGCTGTTCGACTGAGAGCACAGCACCCTGCGTGCGCACACACACTCACAATACAGACAAACATCCCCCGTGTAGCCTTGACGGACTGTTGGGGCAGATGCTGTTAGCGAGCAGCACCTATGAAGGCCGGCACGGTACACGAGGGGGTGGGTGGCCAGCGCCAGACCCGACCGCCTTTGTCTCCCAAAGCCGACGCACACAACCTCGCACACGCGCCGCGGACTCAAACAAGCTCGCGCAGCACGCACGCTCACAACACACATTCGCACTAACCCCATTCCCACAAACACTTTCTCGAATAAACAACACAAACTCATCCATAATAGAAGTGTTTTTTGGAGTAAGATCGCGTAAATATGAATGTGTCGTTAAACCCGCCACCACCCGACACGACCAATTAGTAAGGTTTGGCACGTAACCAGAACGTGCCAATTCGTTACTAGTACAGCGCACCGGTGTGTTGGAGAGCTAATCCACAACATTTACAATCCGAGTACGACGTTTCGCCAGCCTGGTATCATCAGGCGACAGAGCCAAGCGGTTTTCACGTGGGCAAATATGCCAAATGATTTGCGGTGATTCGCCAAACGGGAAGATGATGAATGTCGAAGTGCGTGCCGCGGCTCTCGATGCTGGAGGTCATCTCCA